GGAAGGCTCTTGTAGTTACTAGTTACTCTAGAGAATCCGTGCATTCTAGTAATCTACAACCACGTGCTCGCACGCTGACTTGATTACAGTAAAAATTATTTTTTATTATTATTGACAACAGATGAGAGACTGAGAGAGAATGAAAAAGTCTATGAGTGAGTGAGTGTAATACTGTTAATTATTATTATTATTATTATTATTATTATTATTATTATTATTATTATTATTATATAAATGATCCCAGTTGATCATAAAATTCTTTAAGTCGTACAGTTAAATGACTAAATCTTGGTCTATCACTAGGAGTGAGGGCCCAACACCAACCCATTAAACTAAACCTGTTGATAGGAGAGAGAGAAAGAGATTAATTTAATATGACAATAATATAATATTATACAATGGAAAAACATTGACATGGCAGTAGTTTTGGGAAACACAGCATAAGGACATCAATATGTATCAGAAAATATAATAAAAATTTGGAGTGATTTTTTGGCCATTTTTTGGAAAAAAACCATGGGCTATAGCCTTGGGTATTTTTCAAAATCCACCCACAAAATCCACAAAATTAAACACCCCACAAAATTCTATACCTATATGGTACATGTATATTGCTAGTCTGTCCAATCCCTCCTATTTACAAGTGTCAAAATGGGAGGGGTTGGTGGAAATAAAGACACTGACCTTATCTCTTACCACATCAGAAGATGAAGAGTATCTTTTGTCAGACAAAACTTCAGCTGCCATCCACTTGACAGGATAAGCAATGGTCTCATCTCCCCCTCCTCCTCTCTCTTCTATTGTATTATAATCTTCTGGATAAAAATCCCAACTTAGTCCCCTGTCACCAATCTTTACATGTAGATTCTCATGAATACTATTAATTATAAGTAACTCCACCCACTTTGATTAATAATCTTACTATATATTCCTACATGCCAGGTCTTTATGTACTTGTCCTTTTCTAGTTAAATGGTACATTCCTCTGGCCACTTGTTCAGATATAAATACAAGATCATGTGTTGATATATATGTACACTGACCAGACTAGACAGTTATCTTCTACTATTACTGAAGATATTAATACTGTTGCTACAATGACAATGCTATCATCCTCTCCCACTAGAACAGATATTGTAATGAGGCCTAATAGCATTCTTACACCAGCAGAAGTTATACATCACTCTACCAGCTTACATTACACTACTACTCTTTCTTTATTGAGTGCTATATCACTATTCCACACTAATAGTGCCTTATCAACCGCAGTGCTAGAGAGGGAGGGAGAGACTAGAGAGGGAGGAAAGAAAAAGGAGAAATAGTATACACACACACACACACACACAAGATACATACATGTACTGTACATTGGTAGAAAGAAAGAATTAAGAATCACATTTATTGACGTAGAATGTACATGTACAATAGTAACAGAATACATAGCACATTGAAGAGGGTATATCATATAGCAGTGTGCTATAGGTGTACATGTTAATTATCTCTAAGTCATGTTTTGTTGTGATGTACATGGACATGTAACAATTACACGAAAGAATGCTATAACGATCGTTGGCATTAGTAATACATGTACATGCATAAAATTGTCAAAAAGTAACACAAACAAGGGCAAGTAAGTTTCTGAATGACAGATTTGACGGCCCATTACCAATAAAATCCTACTCTTATGATCCAAACCTACTCTAGATTGTTTAAGAAACTATTGGTCACCTTTTACAATGTAGAGCAAAATTCATGTCACAAGTATCTCCTATAGCTGAAGTAATAAACACTGCATGAATGCACATTAAACCAAATTTCTTAAATATAACATGCAGATTAGGTTAGTCTCTATCAAGAAAGTAAGAGCACAAATACAAATAATTTAATAACAGAATAAGTTGCAGAGATCAGTAAGAAGGAATGTTCTTTCTAGGATTGCCAATAATTAATTTATAGTAAATTCCATGTAACACAAATATCTGTATCAATGTCAATTTATGAGTACTCACTACAAGGAGTGCTGGCTTTAAGTCAATTAGTGCAAATACCAGAAATATATGCTATTGCCATTGTCACGCCATCACACCACTATATCACACCACTATTACACCCCTACAGTGTATTATTATAAAACAAGCTGTACAATTCAGGCAACCTCACTTCCAACCATACTCCAGCTCAGTCATGTCTATTCTCCTCATAGGATCCACTGGAATGGGAAAGAGCACCTTTGGGAACTTTCTCTTTGATCCTGATGATAAGCATATGCTTGACAACCCAACCTTTGCTGCAGCAACAGACAACAAACCAATGACACAAGAAGTAAAAGTTGTACGTCAGAAGGTCCAAGTTGAAAGCGGTAGAAAGTTGTGGCTTGATGTGATTGATACCCCGGGGTTGAATGAAAGTGCTGATAAAGATCTATCCCACATGATCGATATTATAAAGATGTTGAATAAGTGTGGAGAAATCAGAGCTTGTATCCTTGTTGTTAAATTCAATGCTAAAATTGATGCACAGTACAGAGCAACACTGGAATACTACAGTAGGCTCTTGCCTGGCCTGTTTGATAAAAATGTCATCATTGTAATGACTGAATATGCAACAGATGAACGATCTGAATTACAGAGAAAGAGGCAGCGCATTGATGTAGAGCAAGTAAAGCGCAACACAATATTAGAGCTTGGCAAATACTCTAATAATCAAATATCATATTCGCCACAGCTGTTCACAATCGACTGTCTGCCAATTGCAAGTGCTGAAATGGAGACTAGTCTAGCCGAACGTACAGCAATTATTGATCATATCAACACTTTCCTTCCAATAAAAGTCAAGGATCAATTGGTAGCAAAAACAGATTACATTAAACATATAGATGCAGCAAAGTATGAGAAGCTGCAGGGAGAAATAGAGGGGTATAAAAAAAGATTAAAAGAACAGTATCAGGAAAGTGAAAAGGTTCTCGATGAGACCCACAAAAAAGAGACAAAAATTACTCAAATAGAAAGTGAAATAAAAAATTTGGAGACAAATTTGCGTGACAAAAACACAACAGAAGAAGTTGTAGCTGCACATTGGTCCATCAGTGAAGATTGGAGAATGCTTCGATGGTTCACAAGAGATTTCAACATTGAGTCACCACTTGAAATTACAAGATATACCACATGGTCAAATCAAAAATGCGAGTTCAAAGAGATTGCTCAAACAGCCAAATCAATCAAAGGAAAGGTCGAAGGGAGATTCATGAGAGGGATTTATGCCTCGGTTACTGCTTATACTGAAAAAAGAATAAAATATGCAGATGAGATTGCAGATTTAAACAGAAGATTAAAGAGGGAAAAGGAGTTTCTCATAGATCACAATAGGGACCGGGATAAATATCAAAAGGAACATGCCAAAAAGAAAGAAGAAATAGAATTGCTGAAAGAATGCATGAATGAAACAAAAGCTGATGCTAAAAAATGTTGCTTAGATTTCATGACAATAGAGGAAGCAATGGCAAGGTTAGATGAGCTAGTGCCAAGGAAAAAATGATACTTTTACAAACTGCTAACAACACTGCTACTATGTGTACAATTTTTATTTTTTGCTTTTATATTTTGAATAATTTTAGACTATGTAGCTAATTTGCTTTAGTGGGACATTAATTTAATTTATGATTTGAGAATATAATTATTTTGATATCATATACATGTAAGTACACTGACTGAAGGAACTTCTGTCATGCTATATGCATTTTTAGTTAAGAAACCATTTTTGACTAGCAAAATTTTACAGTCAATAATCTGAAAAAAAATACGATTGCTTCAAGACTATATATCTACCTGAAAGGCATGCATGTTGATGCTACAAAATATCAATTGGAGTAGTTACAAATGTAACTAAACATTCGTGTACATTCTAAAAAGTAAAAAATATTATTAATAAGTACTGCATTACTCTTTCAGTTATTTGTGTTCCTTGTTTCCTGTCCTTGTGTATCATTGTCTCTTGCTATCCCTTCCTCTTTTTGCCTTTCTCTTCTCTTCATACATGTACATGTATGTCTAAGTTTTGCTCTTTTTCTTTCTTTCACTACATAATAGATCTCTCTAAATTTGGTCTCTAGATTCTATAACATATCTTCTCTCTTGTGTAATGCAACTTTACTACAAATCTCTTAATAGAAGCACCTTATACTTTTTCTACTAGTCTTTCCAACCTCACCTTTTTCCAAATGTCAAAAAAGATGGGGCTGGTTGTAATTAAGAAGTCTACTTTCATGACATCAAAATCTTTACACCAATCTTAGATTCGCCAAATGCAATAATATATAAAGTAACACCACTCCCTTTAGTTAATAATCTCGCTATGTATTCCTACATGCCAGGTCTTTATGTACTTGTCCTTTTCTACATGCCTTTAGCCACTTAAATACAAGATCATGTGCAACAATAAGAGATCATAAGGTACAAGGTGCATAGTGAGTCTGTTCATAGATGGTCTGGTTGTATAATAATGAAAATAAACAAACTGATTTACCAAAATTACAAATCTTACCACACCAGGCAACTTGAAGTACATAATATGTACATAACACTTAGACAAAATTTAGAACATTAATTGGCAGGGAAGTGATATTAGCTGATTTATAGTTTCAATGAGGATCTACCAATATAAATTCCATCACTTTGGTTCATCACCAATACAAAATCTACGCGAGACTACACAAAATCAGCCAATTGCAAGTTTAACCAAACAAATTCCATGTAACACAAATATCTGTATCAATGTCAATTTATGAGTACTCACTACAAGGAGTGCTGGCCTTAAGCTAATTAGTGCAAATACCAGAAATATATGCTATTGCCATTGTCACGCCATCACACCACTATATCACACAACTGTTATGACACTTATACTATAAAACAAGCTGTACAACCTTTATACTCCATGCAGCTCAGTCATGTCTGTTCTCCTCATAGGATCCACTGGAATGGGAAAAAGCACCTTAGGGAACTTTCTTCTGGATCCTGATGAGAAACACGTATTTGACTACCAAACCTTTGCTGTAGCCAAAGACAACAGCCCAATGACAAAAGAAGTGAAAGTTGGAGAAAAGTCAGTCCAGATTGATGATAGTAATGAATTTTTTCTTCAACTAATCGATACCCCGGGGTTGAATGACAGTGATGCAAAAGATTTATCTCACATGATCAATATCATCAAAAAGTTGAATGAGTGTGAAGAAATCAGAGCTTGTATTCTCGTTGTCAAATTCAATGCTAAAATTGATGCACAATATAAAGCAACAATAGAATACTACAGTAAGCTCCTGCCTGGCCTGTTTGACAAAAATGTCATCATTGTACTGACCGACTATGCAATAGATGAACGTTCGGAAAAAATGAGAAAGAAGCAGAGCATTGATGTAGAGAAAGTAAAGTCCAACACAATAGAAGAGCTCCACCAATGTGCTGATAAGGAATTAACGTATTCACCACAGCTATTTACAATAGACTGCCAGCCCTTAGGGAGCGATGAGATTGAAACTAACCAAAATATACGTTTAGCAATCCTTGCTTACATAAAAAACTTGCAGCCAATAAAATTGAAAGATCTAAGCATAGCAAAAACAGATTTTATTAAGCAGAAAGATGCTGAACGGTACAAAAAGTTGACAGGAGAAATAGATGGCTATAATAAAAGATTAAAAGAGGTTCACACAAATAGTAAAGAGGCCCTCGAGGAAACACGCAAGAAAGAGATGGAAATAATTACAAAAGAGAGCGAGAAGAAAGATCTTAAGGAAATGTTACGTCAAAAAGATACAACAGAAGATGTTGTTGCTACACATTGGTCTATAGCAGAAGAATGGAGAGTGTTTCGATGGTTCACACGAGAGTTTAACGTCAAATCACAATATAAAATTTCAAAATATGACACATGGACAAATGGAAAATGCAAATTCAAAAATATAGACCAAAAGTCTGATGTAGTTAGTGGAAAAGTAGAAGGCAAATTCATGCGTGGGATTTATGCATCCGTCACTGTTTATACACAAAAGAGAATAAAATATGAAGAAAGCATTCAAGATTTGAAGGAAAGATTGGAAAATGAAGATAATATCATTCAACTAAGCAAAACAGCAAAAGAACTTTTTTTAGATAAGCACAAGAAAGAATTAGAAGAAATAAAATTGCTTCAAAAGCACATTGCTGAAAGAAAGGCTGCTGCTGAAAATTGCCTCTTAGATCACATGACGCTGAAGGAAGCTATACAAATGCTGGAAAGATTAGAAGAAAGCAGGAGCCCTCCTGAAGAAAGTTATTGACAATTTGCAACATTTTTGCTACATGCATAATTTTAAAACTTTAGTATCTTATTGGCTTCTTTTTTCTAGCCTTGTGCCAGTGGCATTAGCATAACTTTCATGATAGTTTGCAATTGTACTAATTTTAATTTTTAATATTGTATTAAAAATAGAGCCGAGTGAAAATGTCATAAAATTGAATTTTTATTCCTGTTTCTGGTTTGATTCCTTTCTTTTCTCTCAGTCACATTCTTATTATCTTTCTCTCTCCCTATTGCTTTAGTATATAAACCAAATTTCTTGAATATAGCATGCAGGATGGTGGCCTGCACCAAAAACATGCATGGTAAGTGGATTAAGATTAAATCAAGCACCAATAGGCAAATAAGTTAAAAATAAGAATTCATGCCAACAGAATACGTTGCAGAGATTAGTAAGGAATAGTCCTCTAGGATAGCCTATAGTAAATTCATATAAAGCAAATTCCATGTATAACAAATATCTGTATCAATGTCAATTTATGAGTACTCACTACAAGGAGTGCTGGCCTTAAGTCAATTAGTGCAAATACCAGAAATATATGCTATTGCCATTGTCACGCCATCACACCACTATATCACACCACTATATCACACCACTATCACACCCCTACAGTGTATTATTATAAAACAAGCTGTACAATTCAGGCAACCTCACTTCCAACCATACTCAAGCTCAGTCATGTCTGTTCTCCTCATAGGATCCACTGGAATGGGAAAGAGTACCTTAGGGAACTTTCTTTTAAATCCTGATGATAAACATCTGTTCAACAAACAAACATTTCCTTCAGCCACAACTAACAGACCAATGACAGAAGAAGTAAAAGTTGTAAGTAAACGTGTACGAATTGAAGCTAGTAAAAGTGAGATGCTTACCATAATTGATACACCAGGGTATATTAAAAATGGTGAAAAAGATTTATTGCATATAATCAACATCATAAGAAAGTTGAACGAGTGTGGAGAAATCAAAGCTTGCATTTTGGTCATTAAATTTAGTAGCAAAATTGATGCACAGTGTAAAGCAACAATGAAACATTACAGTAGACTCTTGCCTGATCTGTTTGACAAAAATGTCATCATTGTAATGACTGAATTTTACACCGATACCAGATCAGAAGCACTCAGAAAGAGGCAATGCATTGATGTGGAGCAAGTAAAACGTAACACAATAATAGAGCTTACTAAATACTCTAATAATCAAATATCATATTCACCACAGCTGTTCACAATCGACTGTCTGCCCATGACTAGTGCCGAGAAAGAGACTAGCTTAATTGAGCGCAAAGCAATCCTTAATTACGTCTTTCAGTTGCCACCAATAAGAATCAAAATCCAGAAAATACCAAAACCAGATTATATTATACATAAAGATGCTCAAGAGAATGACAAGCTTCAAGGTCAAATAAAAGGCTATAGTGAAAGGTTGAAAGAGTTTTACAAAACGAGTAAGGAGGCCCTTGAAGATGCTCACAAAAAAGAGAGGGAATTTAATGAAATTGAGAGCAAAATAAATAACCTTGAGACAAATTTGCGTGACAAAAATACAACAGAAGACGTTGTTGCTTCACAATGGTCCTTTAATGGAGGGTGGATAAGGAGTCGATTGATGACACGAGACTTTAACGTTAAATCACCTCATAAAATTACAAACTATAGTATGAATGGAAATTGTGAATTCAACGACGTAGTACAAACATCCTATACTGTCAGTGGAAGAGTTCAAGGAAAATTCTCACGTCGAATTAATGCATCAGTTATTGCGTACACTGAAAAAAGAATAAAATATGCAGATGAAATTGAAGATTCAAAGAGAAGATTAAGCATCGAAAATACTAATCTTACACAATGCAAATCCGCATGTGAAGATTTTCACAAGATACATGAAGAAAGCGAAACAGAAATAAAATTGCTTGAACAACAAATAGATGAAATTCGAGCTACTGCTGCAAGATTCCAGTCAGATTTTATGACACTAGATGAAGCTATGTCAAAGCTGAAATCTTAAATGTTGGTATGCATACAGTTAGAATTAACTGTATTTAGATAGCATGAACAGTTTCACATACGAAACTACATTATTTTCATGTAACATGAATTATCCTCAGAAGCATATTTAGGCTACACAGTTTTATTTAGATTACGTGCATTAATTATATTTAATATTGATTTTATATTATTTAATTTTCAAAAGCAAAAGAGAAGTGAAAGTGCAGGGTGAGACTATAGTAGAAATATTATAAGTAGTCATGTACATACATGAGACATGATTTATTATAAGTATTGTAAAGAAATATTAAAATGTGCTGTGTTCACAAAATCTGTTCATTCTAGTAATCTACAACCACATGCTCACACGCTGACTTGGTTACAGTAAAAATAATTTTTTAAATATTGACAACAAATGAGAGACTGAGAAAGAATGAAAAAGTCTGTGAGTGAGTGAGTGTAATACTGTTATTTATTATTATTATTATTATTATTATATAAATGATCCCAGTTGATCATAAAATTCTTTAAGCCGTACAGTTAAATGACTAAATCTTGGTCTATCTCTTCTATTGTATTAAATTAGGAAAATGATAAAAATGACATTGCATATTCTGATGTTGCACAGAAAGTTTCCAATCAAAATTGAATATTTTACAAATTTTAAAAGTTCCTCAAAAATCGGCCCAAAGACTCTGTACTACATATATGGTACAGCAATTATGTTAGATGTACTGTACTAGACTAGTACTATACATGCATATCATTGTAAACATTATTAAAGTGTGCTGTGTTTCGGCTGCAATGCTTACCTATTATATACTCATTATAGTGAACTAAAAGAGAATGTGCTTCTTCTCAACAAAAAGTCATAATAAAACTCTGAACTAGGCTCTTGTAGTTACTAGTTACTCCAAAGAATCCGTGCATTCTAGTAATCTACAACCACGTGCTCGCACGCTGACTTGATTACAGTAAAAATTATTTTTTATTATTATTGACAACAGATGAGAGACTGAGAAACAATGAAAAGTCTGTGAGTGAGTGAGTGTAATACTGTTAATTATTATTATTATTATTATTATTATATAAATGATCCCAGTTGATCATAAAATTCTTTAAGTCGTACAGTTAAATGACTAAATCTTGGTCTATCACTAGGAGTGAGGGCCCAACACCAACCCATTAAACTAAACCTGTTGATAGGAGAGGGAGAGAGAGAGAGAGTGATATATAAAAATGACAATATTATACAGTGAAAAGTATTGACAAGGCAGTAGTTTCAGGAAACACAGCCTACTATATTAATATGTATCAGAAAATGTAATAAAAATTTGGGGTAATTTCCAAGCCATTTTTTGGAAAAAAAACCATGGGCTATAGCCTTGGGTATTTTTCAGATTTTGGCTCATTTTTAAAAGTGGTCATAACTTTAAAAATTGAAGTCGGAATCAGCTCAAACTCTCTACACAGCATAAGTACATCAATATGTATCAGAAAATGTAATAAAAATTTGAGGTGATTTTGGAGCCATTTTTTGGAAAAAACCATGGGCTATTATAGCCTTGGGTATTTTTCAGATTTTGGCTCATTTTAAAAAGTGGTAATAACTTGAAAAATTGAAGTCGAAATCAGCTCAAACTTTCTACACAGCATAAGGACATCAATATGCATCAGAAAATGTAATAAAAATTTGGGGTGATTTCAGAGCCATTTTTTGGAAAAAACCATGGGCTATGCAAATATTTAAAACTCATTTATATATGTACCTAACATAAAATTTTCCAGTTACTCTACAGTGTGTGTGTGTGTGTGTTTATTTAATATCTTACAGATCATCAGGACAGTTTTTAGGTTGGGGTAGTCTGTGGCCAGTAGTTAAATAGTTTAACATATTTTCAGGTAGTACATCTTCATAAGGAGTCTTTCCTCTTGTCATTATCTCCCACAGTACAACACCAAATGACCACTAGAATACACAAACAATGAGAGACCATCAGGTACAAGCTATACAGTATATTGGAACATGTACATGTACAGTACGTTCAAAATGGCTGCAGTGTATTATCATCAATGAAAAGTGAAACTAGCTACTGAGAACATTTTCTAAATACTGTACCGAAGTATTTTTTAAATACTGCTGCATATGCGCAGTGAGAATTTCCATTGTGTTAATTTTCGTGGTTAAAAAGTCACCCACGAAATCTGCGAAATTAACCACCCCATGAAATTTTATACCCGTACGGTACATGCACATGTAAATTGCTAGTCTGTCCAATTCCTCCTATTTACAAGTGTCAAAAGGGGAGGGGTTGGTGGAAATAAAGATGTCTAATCTCTTACCACATCAGAAGATGAAGAGTATCTTTTGTCAGACAAAACTTCAGCTGCCATCCACTTGACAGGATAAGCAATGGTCTCATCTCCCCCTCCTCCTCTCTCTTCTATTGTATTATAATCTTCTGGATAAAAATCCCAACTTAGTCCCCTATCACCAATCTTTACATGTAGATTCTCATGAATACTATTAATCATAAGTAACTCCACCCACTTTAATTAATAATCTTACTATATATTCCTACATGCCAGGTCTTTATGTACTTGTCCTTTTCTAGTTAAATGGTACATTCCTCTGGCCACTTGTTCAGATATAAATACAAGATCATGTGTTGATATATATGTACACTGACCAGACTGGAGAGGGAGAGAGAGAGAGAGAAGGAAAAACAAGAAATAGATAAATGCAGTATACACACACACACACAAGATACATACAGATGTACACAACGTAGCAGGGAGGAAAGATTAATAATTAAAGTATCATATAACCAATTTGGTCATTTGGTCATATTTTTTCCACATGACTTGATGACCCATTACCAATAAAGCTTCCATTGTTATGATGCAAATTCTACTCTACAATGCATTTAAGAAACTAATGGTCATGTAGAGCAGAATTCATGTCACAAGTACAATGACTACTACAAAGCACAATGACTACATGTACTGTACACATGCAGGTGTGCCATGACTGTCATCATGGAGTGTATTTGGATGCCGTAGCACCCATAATTGATCAAGATGCACCCAATAACTGAGTCAATCTGTCAATAAAATTCAAGTCATGTACCCATGGCTTTCTGGTGCTGGATATACCTCTGACTGTACATGCACTGTACAAGTACTGTACTAAGACATGTATAGAACAAAGGGAGAGAGAAAGAGAGAGGGAGGGCAATATAGAAACATAATGTACACAAGTCATTGTCCTAATATGAAATATGATACTTTCACAACAAGCAATGAATGCCTCGCGTTATACACATATTCTAACACGCCATCACGCCACTATCAAGTTTCAAGGTAATACTTTCAGAATAACAAATGAATTTTTGCAACCTTTGGCATATCTGGCATAATCACGCCCCTATGTCCAAACATAATACTTTCAGAATAACAAATGAATCTGCCTACTGCTGATGAATCTGTGTAACTTTCACTATCATGCCCCCCAAATATCACGCTACCAAATATCACACCACTCAAATATCATGCCACCCAAATATCACACCATCTGCAGCGTATGATACCATAAAACAAGCTGTACGACTAAAATACTGTTACTTTCAGTCACTGTCCAGTCATCATGTCTGTTCTCCTCATAGGATCCACTGGAATGGGAAAGAGCACCTTAGGGAACTTTCTTCTAGATCCAAAAAATAAACACATGTTTGAATACCCAACCTTTCCTCCAGGAAGAAACAGCAGGCCAATGACACAAGAGGTAAAAGTTGTAAGCAAGACAGTCCAAATAGAAAGTGGTAGGAATGTGTGGCTTGAATTAATCGATACCCCGGGGTTGAATGAAGGTGCCACAAAAGATTTATCTCACATGATCGATATCATAAAGAGATTAAATGAGCTAGAAGAAATCAAAGCTTGTATTCTTGTTGTTAAATTCAATGCTAAGATTGATGCACAGTACAAAGCTACAATGGAATACTACAGTAAGCTCCTGCCTGGTCTGTTTGAAAAAAATGTCATCATTGTAATGACTGAATTCAAAACAGATGATAATTCAGTAAGACTGCGAGAGTTGTAAAAAATTGAGGTCAAGCAAATACAGGAAGACACAATACTAGAGCTACGTAAATGCTCCAAACAAATATCATATTCACCGCAAATATTTACAATCGACTGCTGTCTGACCTCAGATAGTCCAGAGAAGGAGACTAGCCTAATTATGCGCAAAGTGATTCTTGACTACATCTTACAATTGCCACCAATAAAAGTTAACAACCAGATGGTCGCAAAAACAGATTACATTAAACATAAAGATGCTGCAAAGTATGAGAAGCTACAGGGAGAGATAAAAGGATATAAAGAAAGATTACAAGAAGTTCATACAGAGAGTAAAAAGGCACTTGATGACACGCGCAGCAAAAAGAAAGAAATTAATGAAAAGGAGAGTAAAATAAAAGATTTGGAAGAAAAGTTAAAGGAGAAAGATACAACAGAGGATGTCGTGGCTGAACACTGGTCTATTAATGAAGTATGGAAATGGTTTCAAAGGTTCACACGAGGTTTCAACATAAAGTCGACACATGAAATCACACATTATACGACATGGTCAAATGAAAAATGTGAATTCAAAGAGATTGTCCAAACATCTCATTCAGTTAAAGGAAAGGTTCAAGGTCAATTCATGCGTGGGATTTATGCATCAGTCACTGCTTATACTGAAAAGAGAATAAAATATGCTGATGAGATTCAAAAGTTAAAGAAAGAAATAGAAACAAAGAATAAGAACCTTACAGAGTGCAAAGACGAATGGGAAGACTATAGAAAGGAACACGAAGAAAAATTGGAAGAAATAGAATTACTTGAAAAATATATTGCACAAAGGCACGTTGCTGCTGAAAAATGTCTCTTGGATCTCATGACAATGGAGGATGCTGTAAAAAGGCTGGAAGAGCTCAAAGGACTGGACTAAAGTTGATGCTTAAAAATACCCTTATCTTAGATCCTAACTTAATAATAATAGATATACAGTTTAGATTGAGTATAGTTATGAAGTTCAGCACTTTATCAGATTTCTAGTATAATTATTTTATTAGTGCAATTTTGAAATTAGTTAAAAAGCAAAAGTAAATGCATTACATAAATTACAGTGAACTGAGTGAAGATCATTTAATGGCTAAGTACAATGTACATGTACATGTACATGTATTTTAATCACACAATATAACTAAGTGGATAACCAGACATAAAGCAGCTATTCATGTACTGGTACATGCACATAACAAAAGTGCAGTATGATCCTACTGATTTACATGTATTAGATTTTGTTGGCCATAGCACAATCTAATAAATCAGAAAGATCATCAGCAGTGGTTTCAAGCCAACAATTCAATATACATGTAAAATTCAATTTACAAATGTACATGTAGTATACAAAAGTATTTAAGATACCGTATTTCCTTGATTACTAGCTGCGGCTACTATAAATTTCAGCTCAAG